CTATCAAACAAAATACAACCACCGTCACTTTAAGAAAAATACATAATTAAACATATACCTGCTCCCCTACGAGATAAGCAAAGATGACAAAGTGTGACAACACCCTGCGGGAGGCGGGGGAAGCCAGGGCTGGGATGTATAATTGGCACCACTTCTTCGAAGCAGGCTTGCACAAGGCCAAACTGAACAGTCACGTTCTTCTAAGAACTTCCCACAGGCACAGCGCACACTTACGGGATGGTGTGGATACACAGCTATTGCTGCAGCTTTGTTTTAAGGCCCAGGGGACACCTACCCCTCCATCAGTAGGGAACAACTTAAATATCACCCTTACGGTGCATAATGTGGGGACACAAAAAACCACTTTCCTTCCACCTTCCAAGTTCTAGCCGTGCTGATCATCAAATTTATATGAGACAGATCAGCAGGAGAGTGTCCAAGGTTTACGGTGGCGGATGTACATGTGGGGTGCAGAAAGACTACGGGACCCAAAGATGTTGCATTGGGCAGCTGCAGCTTATATACCTCTTTGGACAAAAGAGGAGGGGACAGGGGCCGGGGATTTCAAAAGGAAAGCAGGTAATTTATACATAGATGACTAAGAGCAAGAAAGCAAACTTTCTCAGGGCCACCCAGAAACAATGGGACCTAGAAGGAAGTTCACACACCAGACTAGGCGGGAGGTGATGCTCCCTCCTTTAAGCAGGTTTTTCTGCCTGGATGTCTGTAGGCAGGTGGGGGAGGGTCAGAGCGCTTTCAGAGTCTTTTTTTTTTTTTTTTTGGCATACTGTTTTTATTTTAACACAGACTGCCTCGGTGGGTAGAGAAGACACTGGTAACAGTGGTGACATTGACATCCAAGGGACATAACCCAGGAGACAGGACTGGCAGGGAGGTTTACCTTTTGCAATCTTTTAATCATTTTGAATTTTGTGTCATGTGCATTAATTACCTGGCCATGCTAGTCAAAATGATGCTGGAGAGTGCTTTTAAAATATAATGAGGGGTTTTTAAGGCAAGGAATAGAATGAAAAAGTCAAAGGAGATTACTGAGGGAGTTGCTGAGAAATCTAGATAGGTGGACAGCTATAAACCAATATGCTCTCAGTGGCTTTTCAGAGTAGGATTACAAGTGATTTTCTTTTCTTTTTCTCCATCTGTATTTACTGATTTCTCTAAAATGAACAACGATTCTCAACTACTAAAAGAGTACTTTTAACTCAGACGTTTTTTAACTTCCAGTAAACATAAATCCCTTGGACATTTACTAATAAAAAATACATCGCTAAGATTATGCTTTCTGTACAGCTAGTCCCCACCCAGTTTAAGTAACATCTGGCAGAGTCTCTGGAGGGAGGTTAAATGCAGCCAACAGTTAAAACATAAATAATGAACCCCCACAGGAAAATAAAACGATCTGCACCTACAACAAAAGGCTCAGCAGCACAGAAGGTTGGGGGCTGGGTGTTCTTTTTGCTCTGAACCAGGAGCTATCTGTTTAGATGGTGTGCATGAATTATTCCACGCTGAGATCTTACTAACCACTCATGACCCCTCCTCCTACCACTTAAGCTTTTCCCTGGGGACCAGGCCGGCTTCCGCACAAAAATAAATGCAGGAAGTGAGTGTGAGCTAACAAAGACATCAGCACCATATGGAACACGAGACTTGACCAAAGAAACCGATAACCTGGGCTGCTCACACCTAGATGTTACCCGGTGTCTCCGTATTGTTTTACTTTGCAGTAAGTGACACCTCCCAGTTTTGTTCTCTGCCAGGCTTAATTACAATGCTGAAGTCACAGTGACATCTTACTGTGTCACCGCTTTCTCTCTGCCTTCCCTCCTCCCCATTTTCTTTGGCCTTCCTTCCCCCCTTAAAATAAAGTGTGTGTGTGTGTGTGTGTGTGTGTGTGTGTAATTCAAACAAAAACGCTTAGTGACTAGCTATCACTTCCATATAATGGTGCCAAACTAGAAGTTATTACTAACAGAGTAGTGAGCATAAATATTTATTCAGCCCCATAAAAAGCAGTAGGGAGGCTTTTACCATGTTTGCACTAGTTAGCACAGAACAGGAAATACCACACACATTAGACGTGCTGTGCGGGGCTTAACACGTTGAAATTCTCGACAGGCACCAGCAGGTTCAGGTATATTTTAAATCACTTGACATTGACTGAGCTCTCAATTTAAGCAGAGCGTTTTATACAAAGTCCTGGTACAGAGGATGGTGAGAACTACTAGAATCGGAGCCTGACACTGTTGCGTATTAGAACGTGCCACTAAAGACACAAAGAAAACTGTTCATTTCCAAACTCTACAGCTCTGCTGACTAACACAAAGGATACATTTTGACAGCTTCCTATAGGGAAGAGGGTAAAGGAGTCACTTTCAATAGAGAGATGCACTTAAGACAAGAGGCAGGGCATTTGATTTCGCATCTAGAGGTGTGTTTTTAAAGGAACAGATAAATGCAACGACGTCCACATGTATTCAATAAAAGTGTGCTGATTTGGTTTTAAAAACTATGCAAAATAACCACAATTCAAGAGCCAAGCAGAGTGTGATAAGCCAGCATTATTTGCTAGTGAGCAGGAGGGTTTGCAATCCTAGGCTCCGCCTCCACGCTAAGCCAGGCATCCATCTCCCTGAGTCACTGAAGATTGAGCCATCCACTCCACCAGCTCAAACCTCCCATTAACTCACCCCTCCCCCAAGCCCTGCTCAGCCTCATCAGCAACTTTCTCCACCTAACCACACAGCTCCACTTCCTTTAAAACTGCAGAGGAAAAAAGAGCAGGAGACAGGAGGAAGGAAGAATCTAGAATCCAACTTGGAAAGTCACTAGGTCTGACAGCGGAAGGGGCCCCTGCATTTCCCCTTCCATTGCAGGTAACCCCCAGGCATTTCTGAGCACCTACTGTGCGCCGGGAACATAAAGGTAAAAAGGCCAGAGAGCCAGCAGACGGAACCAGCAGCGTGAGGCAAGGCTCCGTGGCCGACACGCAGCACAGCGGCTCAGAGAGCCCGCTGGCCTCCCAGCAGGTGCCTCACCCGTCATTCTGAGCCGTCTCCATCCCTCCACTTGAAGAGGAGGAATACGATGGAAAGCTGGATTAACAGTGTGGCTCAGTGGTTGAGGGTCCACCTATGAACCAGGAGGTCACAGTTCGACTACTGGTCAGGGCACATGCCCTGGTTGCGGGCTCAACCCCCAGCATGTAGGAGGCAGCTGATCAATTTTCTCTCATCACTGATGTTTCTATCTCTCTCTCCCTCACCCTTCCTCTCTGAGATCAATAAAAATATATTTAAAAACACACACACAGCCGAAACCAGTTTGGCTCAATGGATAGAGTGTCGGCTTGGGGATTGAGAGGTCCTGGGTTCGATTCCGGTCAAGGGCATGTACCTTGGTTGCCGGCATATCCCCGGTAGGGAGTGTGCAAGAGGCAACTGATCGATGACTCTCTCTTGTCGATGTTTCTAGCTCTCTATCTCTCTCCCTTCCTCTCTGTACAAAAATCAATAAAAATATATTTAAAACACACACACACACACACACACACACAAAACAACACAAAGACTAACATAGCTATGTCTAACACACACACACACACACACACACACACAAAGTCCTACAAAAATCAAGCGGAGTCGGCAGCCAGTTGGAATCCTGCGTCTCACCAATGGCTGATTCTTACCAGAGGAGCTGGACCACAAAATCCAATCAAGTTAGTCCCTCCACTCACCGAAATCGGACACAGCTACTGACAAGCACCAAGCACGGTCGTTCCAAACACTTCGTGTTAACGATGGCAATGGAAGTCAGGGACAAAAGTGCATGCCGAGGTCTGACACTCCAATTGTCCCCATTCAAAATTAGGACGGTGCTGGCTTACATGGTGGCCCTGCCTCCTCCTCACCACACTCACCAGGCTGGTGATGAGTTTTCTGACCCTAAATCTGAATGACTGCTATGTGCAAACCACCATGTTATCCAATCCTGGGCAAAGATATAGGACATGCCTCTCCCCTCACGAAGTTAAAAACATAGACAGTATGTGTGCGTGTGTATATACATATCTGTATATACATATCTGTATATGTAAAGTACATATTATATATTATAAGTGCTCAGTGTGAGAGTGATTTGAGGGATGGGTGAGAAAGTAAGGGTTGGAAGGCTCCAAAGAATCTTACAATTTCTCAAAAGTAACATACAAAACTGTACCCATGAAATACGGTTTTACTTACATAAAACACATAAGCCTGAAAGAAAACACTGGAGGGTAACAAGCAAAAAATATAAACTGTTGAGTTGAGGCTCAAAACAACAGTCCTCTCTACCCCAACTTTCTAAATGTGCCCGGTTGTTCTCGGTTGAGCTTTTTAGCATTTCTGCATCTTTTTGGAGCGAGCTGCGCATGTAGCAGCACCTCCAGGAGGTAGTGGACCTGCCCCGCCAGGCCCCACGCCGCAAACAAGGACCCCGCGGCACCGGCCGCACCCCGCGTTCGGAGCCGCGCGCCCAGGGCCGCGGAGCCGGAGGGGCTTTGTGCGGTGGAGCTGCATCCTGAGGGGAAAGACCACTCTTCCTATGCAAAGCCGCCTCCCCCTCACCCCCAAATTAGCCCACAGACTCCACCCCACGGCAGCGGACAGCTGCGTGTTGAAAGTCTGCGTCCCGACCAACGCCATGAGACCAAACGCCAACCAAACCCCAGATCCACCAGGGACGGAGACGGGTCCTGCTGCCACGCCGACAGGCGGAGGGCCCGGCCCCGGTGCCTCAGTTTCCACCCGGTACGAGAGCCAGCTGTGCGGCCCTCGCTCCGCGCCGCCTTCCACCCGAAACGCACCGCCTCGCTCTGCCTCGGCCCCTCCGGCCGCCGGCGCCCTCCTCCACCCGGTCACGGCAGGAAGCGCCCCGGACCGGAGCCGCCGCCCGCGGTGCACCTGCTGGGCCCGCGCCCCCGCCGCGCCCCGCGCCCTCACCTGGCTCGCCGCGCTCCATCGCCGCCGCCTCCCGTTCCCCGCGCCGTCGCCCGCTCCGACCACGCCGCGGCTCCTCCTCGCTCCGCCGCCGCCGGCGCCGAGTCCCCGCCCCCAAGGCGTCCGGCGCCTCCCCACCACCTGACCGCCGCCCGGTGCGCGCCACGTAGCGGGGCGGGGGGCGGGGCCGCGGGAGGCGGGGGCGGGGCCGCGGGGGGCGGAGGGCGGGGCGTGGCCGCGGGAGGCGGGGGCGGGGCCGCGGAGGGCGGAAGGCGGGGCCACGGGGGCGTGGCGCCCCACCCGTGAGTTATTCCTACGTGGTCTCCTCCGAGGCGGCTGCGCTGTCCTCCCGCCCCCGGGCACCCACGCTCAGGTGGAGAAGGACGCTCGGAAGGGTCTGGAGAGAAGCCTATGCCCAGCCGTCTCCGTAGGCCCTCCGACGGAAACCATCCCCTTCCAACCTCAGCAGGTCCCAAAGGCGAAAACGACACTGAATCTCCAAATTTCATGTCCGCCCATCTTTTCACAGAAAGCGCGCGTTTTCCTGCGACAAATCAGGAAGGTTTCCCAGCAATAAAAACTGTTCTGAGTGCAGGGTTAAGTGCCTTAAATTAGCCAGCCGGCAGCACTCCGGCAGGCAGGGTCTGTTGGAAATGCACTCTGAGGTTCGGTGTCCACTGGCCACGCGGATAGTTTAAGGCCTGCAGCAGGACGTGTGGTTACTGCCATTAGCATGCAGTTACTCTTCTCCATGAAGGCACTTCGGTTCTGTCACTTCAAGGCTGCACCTCGGCTTCATAAGCCAGCTGAGCCTGCGGGTGATACAACTTCTTCCCGAGTTACCTGGAGACGCCGCCTTGGCCTTGACCTTGACCTTGACCTTCAGCCGGCTGCGTGGCCTAGCTCTCCAGGCACAGCGGCTCTTCCTGGGTATTTAGTTGTCACAGTCAGCTGAAGACCATGCGGCTGCCCCCTGCAAACGCAGGAGACCTCCCTCCGATTCCTGCGCCCACTGCACGCGCCTCCTGCCGGGTGCCACTCACGCCTGGCACCCATCAGGCCACTGCTACAGCCAGACGCCCTACTTGGTCAAGATGGCCCTTGACCCTTGACCAGCGGGTCAAGGGCCATCTTGGCCTTGTTTTCATGCCTTTTATGAGAGTATGCATTGAACAATACTGTAAGTTTAGCTTTCATATTTGCATTTTAAAATGAGGTCTATTGTGTCTGCTAACAACCCAGTGTTTGTAACAAAGATGCACAATACTCTGCTTTTTTACAACTTACTTTTGAAGTGTAATGGTACAGTAAATTTTGGCATTGGCAGGAATTCCATTATGTAAAGAACTTTTGACAAGCTGCTGCTCAGATCTACCATATAGTGGTAACAGCTAGAGAGACTTATCTCCCAGCCTATGGGCTAACTTGTGGGCAAATCAATAGCACTGATGTTGGTTAGAAATATTATTTTTTAAAGATATTTTTATTGATTTCAGAGAGGAAGAGAGAGGGATAGAGAGACAGAAACATCCATGATGAGAGAGAATCACTGATCGGCTGCCTCCTGCAAGGTCCACACTGGGGATAGAGCCAGAAACCCAGGCATGTGCCCCAAATGGGAATCAAACTGCGACCTGGTTCATAGGTTGACGCCCAATCACTGAGCCATGTCAGCTGGGCTAGAAATATTATTTATTCTACTCATATCTATTTAATGTGCTGTGTGGAAATGGGCTTGCCTATTATGTATGTTGGAAGGAAAAATGCCTCATTTTTTAAAGAATGCATTTGCTGTCCACCAGTGGCAGAGAAGGCTAACGGCCTACCCAGTGTCTTGCTTTCCACTGTCCTTTCTAAGAGATGCCAGACATTGTTTGGGCGAGCAGTGTCCAGCACAAGGACTGGCCACTCAGCCTCCCTTGCAGCGGGGGTTGGCTCTCTCACACATTAGAGGCCAGTGTGATATGAGCAAAGTTAGCTAGTCACAACCTCCAAGAAATCATTTAAGAAGAAGACAGTGTTGGCAACATTATTTTACCCTTCACCTTCCCCCTTCCTGTCTAGAAGGCCAGCGGCCACATTGCTAGCAGAGGATGAAAGCAAAGCCCTCTGCAGAGGAGACACCTAGAAAGAAGCTGGGCCCTCAGGGGCATCGGGAGGAAATTGACATTTTGGTTTTTTTAAATTGACTTGAGGGGGTGGGGGCGGGGGGGGGAGGGGGAGGAAGAGAAAGAGAGAGAGGAAGAGAGAGACATCATTTGTTATTCCACTTCTTTAGGCATTCAGTGGTTGGTTCTCATATGTGCCCTGACCAGGGACTGAATCCTCCTCCTCGGTGTATCGGGACGACACTCCAACCAGCCCAGCCCCGGGCCAGGGCAGCCCCTGACGGCTTGAAGCCGCTCTACTTGGCTTCGGGTTACATGGAGCCAAATGCAATCCTAATAAACAGCAAGCCATCTTTCAAAAACCCCTTCTTGTTATGTGCCAGCACAGGTATGCCCATGCTACCCCCAGCCGCAGGTAAATATTAACTTACTCTCTCTATGATGTTAAGCAAGCACTGTCCACACCACGAACAGCCAGAGCAGGGAATTTCCACAGAAGCCTGCTTTTCTCTTGTGCCTTCCGCTAATTTTCTTTTTTTCCTGACAAACCAGAAGCTACACGTACGTCTGGGGCTGTGTTCCTTCTGAAACCACCAGACCGGGGCTGCCCACGCGGGGGCCTGGAGGACGGCCAGCACCCCCCCATCACCGGGCAGAGCTGAGCCCCCTCAAAGGCCCGGGACGGGGAAGACACTAGATTCACTTTGCAGCCTCCTTGCTGTTCATGGATTCCTTTTTCAGTTTCTTTTTACAAACACCATTTGTTGATAAAATGTCTGCATGGAAATTCCCCCCAACGCAGATGAGTCGAAACAAATGGAAATTTTCAAGGGGCTAGAGGACATGGAAGCCGAACGTGGTAAGTGGAAACTGTCTCCGCCCTCACTGGGCCCACCCCTGACAGCCAGCAGAAACCACACAGAGTGTGCCGGCGGCTGGAGGGCTGTCCTGTGCAATCCTCAAGGTTGCCAGTCCCATTCCTGGTCCAGGCACAAACCTGGGTTGTCGGTTTGATCCCCCTTCAGGACACTTCCAGCCTCTCTCTTTCTCTCTCTTCCTCTCTCTAAACATGTCTTCCAAACATGTCCTCAGGTACATGTCCTCAGGTGAGAATAAAAATAAAAAGAACGCCCTTCATTAAAAACATGCACACAGCCCTGGTTGGCATTGCTCAGTGGTTAGAGCGGCAGCCTGCACACCAAAGGGAAGTAGGTTCAATCCTGAGTGAAGCCCAGGGACCTGGATTGTTGTGTCTCTCTCACATTGATGTTTCTCTCTCCCCTACCCCCCACCACCACTCCCACCCTTTTTACTCTCTAAAAATCAATGAAAAAAAGTATCCTTGGGTGAGAATTAACAAAACAAACAAACAAAACTTTATCCTGGGAAAAAGGCCAAAACGAACGTCCAGAGGAGGGAGGTTTGCGAGTTTCCAGTGCAGGGTATAAGGAGAGGATAGGGATGAGTGGGCGTGTCCATTTGGCCCCAAGGACTGCTCACCCATAAGGCGCAGGTGGGCAGGTTCTAAAGCCTGGGCCCAGCCCAGGGGCGCCCAGGAGCCTGAGTCTGGAGTTGCCAGGTAACATCTAGGACACCCAGTTCAATTTGAATCTTACGTGAACAAGAAATAATTTTTTAGTGTAAGTATAGCCCCTGCAATGTTTGCAACATACAAATTCTTCACGGGTCCCTGTGTTTTCATTTGCTGACTGGCCACCCTGTCGGGTAGTTCTGGCTGTCTAGTCACAATTTTGAAAAAGTTATCACCCAAAGTTAAAAGGTCCAAGAAACCAAAGCAGGTTTTGGATAATTACCTGATTTAACGTCAGGTAATTAGCATGTAATTGCTAAGGAAAACATTACAGCCTTGCATTCTCTCGGCTTTGAAGACTGTGAAGGTGACATAAACAGCCTGGGAAAGTGTGAAGATGGTATGGCAGGGACGCGCACTGCACGCTAATGCAAGTCAGACGTGGAGATCCCGCAACCATCACAGGAAGTGGCTCCCGGCATTGATTTTGTTAAGAAAGCCATACACCACTTCATTTCCTTGTGTGTGTTTAAGCCGCTTTGAATTGTGTCCATTAGATTACGTCATGGGAGCTGAACAAGTTTGAGGAAGATGCTAAATGCTTAAAATCTCTTAGCAAGCCATGTTCCGAGGGCAGCTCTTGATGGGACATAACTTCAAAGTCTCTTTAATGAAATAAGGGTTTTCATGTTCCAATGAGGACATGATTTTAAGAAATGTCTAACCCGGGAGAATCCAAGATGGCTGCACAGGTAAACACCTAACCACAGTCGCACACAACAATTTCAATAAAATATAACTAAAATATAAAATGGACATTACCCAGAACTACAGGAAAGTCGACTGACTGAAAATTCTACAACGAGAAGCAAGGAGAAAACCAGAAGGAAGAGCGGAGGAGCTGGAAAAGCCTAAGGTCTGGAGACAAGCAGCATGCTCGGAGAGGACGGAGCCGGAGAGGAGGGGTGGCTGAGTGCCTGGCTGGCGTTCCCTAGCGGGAAGGAGATAAAAGCTCCGACTGTGTTGAACCCCAGACCCGACAGCACTGAACCCCAGTTCTAGGCCAGACCCTGGGGACCCAGGCTCAAACAGAGGGGCTGTGAGGTGGAATCCCAGGGGAGCGGCAAAAGGCAGAGCCCCCGGAGGCGCGCACATTGCACGCAGAGGATGGACTGTTGACTCTGCTGTTAGATTGCTCTGGCGGGAAGGAGACAAAGGCTCCGGATTGTGCTGGGCCCCAGTTCTGACTGCTCTGAATCCCAGTTCTAGGCCAGACCCCAGAGACCCAGGCTCATCCAGAGGGAGCTGGACTGTAAGGCGGAAACCCGGGGCAGAGCCTCCGGAGGCGCGCACATTGTACGCAGAGAAGGGACAGTTGGCTGT